TTACTATCATTATGATTATTATTATCATTATTTGACCAGTACAGCTATCTATAAAGTGAAACTTAAGACATGATGATATCTATTAACCCCTATAGACCCGGTTTGGAAATATTACTAACTATATCTAAAAGGAAGAGCTTTCTTTGTTCTGAGAAATATTTGCGAATGTGAATCTGTGATAAGTTTTACGAAATGCATCTAATAGAAACAGTATGCAGAATACCACCTATGATGAACGACATTCAGCATCATGGTCCTCGCACTTTGCAAGGCATGACGAACGCCACACGTCACAACAGCGTCTTGGCTCATTCGCCATGTAAGAAAAAATGACGAACAACGTACGTCATATAAGTCGTGAAAGGGTTAAATCAATTGCAGGTCTTAAAAAAAAAAAAATCCCCTGAAATATTAACCAAGTCAACTGTTCTTTCAGATCAAGAGTGAGTCATTCCTTGAAGACATCAACAACATCCTCAATGCAGGAGACGTGCCTAACATCTACGGCTTTGATGAACTGGAGCAAGTCTACACAGACATGAAACCGATTGTGCAGGATGCAGGCCTGCAACCCACCAAGACTAACTTGTTCTCCGCCTACACCAAACGTGTGCGCAGTAATTTGCACACTGTGCTCACCATGAGGTATGATATAGGTGGTCAACAGCTAGTATGATATTGGTTTTTCTTTTTTGTGAGTGAAAATTCTTTGACTTGTTGTCATTAATATTATTTTGCTTGTATTGTATGAGCGAGGTTTTTGTTGTCTTTATGACTTATAAATATAATTTTATGTGTAGTTACTTCAGTTGATATCATGCTAGGCTTCAATTTGAAAGACCACGGTAATTTAACCAGTTGTCACGGCTGTCCTGCAGTTTTGTTTATTTGTATCAAAAGTAGTCAATGGTTTGTGGAGCCTTACCTTTAGATAATATTTCAGTACTGAAAAAAGTAGAGGGTATCCCCTCAGCGATCTCTACTCTTTCCATTCTGAGCTCCAATTGTCTCAATTCATAGTAACGTCAATGCAGTGGTCAGGCATTCCTCTAGCTCACTTTATATTATGTTAGATTCTTTTGCAGTTGACCCTGGTTTAATTGCCAGAAGAACATTCTTGAACTCTGGCCATTTTGGCAGTTTTCAGGGCTCTTCACTTACTTGTCTCATGCCTATTGTAGATGGAACTTAAATTTGGAGGTCCTGCCTCCTCACTAACCCAACAGTGTTAATAGGGGCTTAAAAACCGTGGCGTACCTAAATGTAGTGATATTTTCTATTCCCTGACAGTCCTCTTGGAGAAATCTTCCGTGCCCGCCTCAGACAGTTCCCTGCCCTCGTGAACTGCTGCACTATTGACTGGTTCAGTCAGTGGCCGACAGATGCTCTCCAGTCTGTGGCTCTCCGCTTCCTCAATGACATTCCTGACCTGGACACCACTGATGAAGTCATGAATGGACTGGTAAATACACAACTTGTCCAAACCTTGTTTTCTCGTTTATGGGAGGGGAAAGGAGAAGGGGGGTGCAACACAAACAAGAGTTATGAAAGTGCTAAAGATTACTAGAAAGTAACATACAGAGAAAAGAAGGAAGAGAGGTAAAGACTGAAAAGAAAAAAGAAGTTAACCACATGCTAGAACATCTGCCATTCACCCACTCTGATGTTTATCCCTTGTAAGTTGACCATGTCAGAAATTCATGACCCTTGACCTGTAAGTAGACCATGCCTGGCTTGACCCTTGACCTCTGTGTGTTTGTGTGTGTACGTGTGCAGGTGTCCATGTGCCAGGAGATACACGAGTCCGTGACCGTGAATTCTGCCAAGTTCCTGGCTGAGATGTCGCGACACAACTACGTCACCCCGACCAGTTACCTGGAGCTCCTCGGCATCTTTTCCAAGCTTGTTGGCATGAAGAAAATGGAACTGACCACAGCCAGGAAGAGACTCAAGACTGGTTTAGATAAGGTAATGTACAGTATTATCTTTACAACTGTGTTCACATGACAGTAGGCACTATAAAAATGTTCTACATTCTTCATCTTGATCTTTTTCTTCTTCTTGTTCTTTTTGTGTTGTTGTTGTTGTTGTCATCATCGTCATCGTCCTCCACCTCCTCCTCCTCCTCCTCCTTCTTCTTTTTCTTCTTCTTCTTTTTCTTCTTCTCCTCCTCCTCCTCCTGCTCCTCATCCTCCTCCTGCTCCTTCTTCTTCTTCTCCTTCTTCTTCTTTTTCTCCTTCTTCTTCTCCTCCTTCTCGTCCTCCTCCTTCTCCTCCTCCTCCTCCTCCTCCTCCTCCTCCTCCTCCTGTTCATGGGTTCATACAAATGATGTGTTAGTGTTAGCCAGTGATAAGAGGGTGTCACCTTTAGCTTTTCCACTGTTGGTGTCCGTGTATCATACTTTTTCTGAACACTATGTATTACTGTTATTAGGCAATGTTCTCTTTTCTCAAACAACAAGCAAAATGATATCCTGTTTTTATTTTTCATTGTTCCTAGCTGCTGACCACAGCTGATGAGGTGGCCAAATTGCAGGCGGAGCTGGCCACAATGAGACCCCTGCTGGAGGAGGCAGTCAAGGAATCTGTCTCCACCATGGAGCAGATCTCCCAGGACACGGTAAGTTGTGATGATGACTGGTGCGTTTATGAGTAAGAAATTGTTCTTTTTTTTTTTCTTTTTTTTTTGTAGAAGTAACACTACAGAGTTTTCAGATCTGTGTTCACTTTCAAAAGAGTTGATTTTTCTTTTGCTGTGATAAACAAACAAAATTAGGAATTTTAACCATGCACATGTCTCCTCTGGCTTCCTTGCAGAGGGCTCAAACTCTAGAGCTGATGATATTTACTTCTCAAACTGTAGCACATTCTACTTTATGTGAGTGTTTAAGGGTACTTTTGAAAATGATATTGTTGACCTGATAAGCAAGGATAAAAAAAACGTGGGCCATATGAGAACATTTGTTGCAGTACTGGTTTTTAGAACCTGAAGTTAACTCACACTAAGAGACAGTTGGGAAATAAAAAAGAAGACGAAAAAGAAAGGTGCATTCATGTTTACTCTGTTAAAAGCGTTGCACTCTTTTTACATTTTGTTTCTATTTTCTTATTTTCTTGATCTTGTTTAGGCTGTGGCAGAAGAGACCAAGGCAGTGGTGCAGAAGGAAGAAGAGCAAGCCTCAGTAAAAGCCGTAGAGACGCAGGCAATTGCCGATGATGCTCAAAGAGACCTGAATGAGGCCCTGCCTGCCCTTGTAAGTGAAAGTGAAACATCCTACAGAGGTGCCAATTTTCCCTATTAAATCTTGAAATCTGAATTTCTGAAATTGTGGGCAAATTGCTGGACTTCAGACTGACTGTATATAAATAGTCTAGATACAAGACATATAAGACCCAAAAAAATGTGATCCGTTAAAGTCGCTGTGGGCGTGTTTCCTCGGATTTGAAAAATTTGGGATTGTTGTACATAGCCAGTTTTTTATTTGTTCACAAATGGTATGTAAAAACTTGAAATTGGTTGAAAAAATGGTTAGCCATGGAAATGCCTCTTTTACAGGTGATTGAAAAATCTTTTTATATAATGCCTGTTCCTTTCAATCTGCTCAGAAGTTTGAAATTGTTTTGTTTCTTTTTTCCTATTAAAGATCAATAAAGTATTTCTTAGCTTTGCTTATATTAGATCTACTGTGCATCTTGTCATTTATTTTTGAGAAAAGCAAAAGTTTTTCAGTGTCAGAATTGTAGAAGATTGGCTGTTGATGGTTTGCTGATTAAACCAATTTGTGTTACAGGATGCGGCCCTGGCCAGTCTGAAGTCCTTGAACAAAGGCGACGTGGTTGAGGTCAGAGCTCTTCAGAGGCCTCCAGATGGTGTACGCCTGGTCATTGAGGCTGTTTGCATCATGAAGGTAAGACTCATTGAGAAGCAGAACTTGTCTACTTTGTAAATGTTATTGCAAAGTATGCTCAGCTTTGTAAAAAGACTGCTGTGTAAAATGTGGGCAACATTGATTCTCCCGTTAAAGAGATAGTTTAGGTTAAGTTGTGCCACAAATATTTTACTGCACTATAATATTGTCTGGCTCTGGTATCTAGCAACCATTGCCTGGACCTGGTATCTATCTAGCAACCATTGGCTGGCTCTAGTATCTGTCTAGCAACCACTTTTTGGCTCTTTTAGCAAGCAGAGCTGAAGTCTAGTGTAGCGGCACAGAAAAAGAAGAGGAGCAAGTAGCATTCTATTATATCCTATTCTTGCCTAATGGTTTAGGGCTTTCTGAGATAGTGCAGATTGTAAAGCACATAAAGTGCTGTTGAGTGGGAATTTGCACTGCACAAACACCTTTTATTATTGTTTATCATTGCTCATATTATTTCCATCTACCTCTGACCCTGGTGTAGGGCGTCAAAGCCAAGAGAGTGGCTGGAGAGAAACCTGGGCAGAAAGTGGACGACTACTGGGAGGTGGGCAAAGCTCTGCTTCAAGATCCAGGCAAGTTTCTGGAGAGCCTTTTCAAGTACGACAAAGACAACATCCCTGATGAGAACATCAAGAAGATTCAGCCTTACATTGATAATGAAGCTTTTCAGCCTGCTGCTATTGCTAAGGTAAGTTTATGATTTTTTTTTAAAGGAGCTATGTCATTCAGATAGTTTTATTTGTTGAAGACTTCACTGGTCTATACTTGGTGTTGTTTTCATCAAGATACATGGTGATGGTCAGATAGCAGTCGTTACCATCACATTCATAAAGGGATAATCAATGGGCAGGCTACAAGATATGGTAAAATACATCTGTTGTATGGATGGACCCTAACAACGTCAACTCAATTTTACTCCAAGTTTTTAATCTGTTTTCCTCCTTCATATCCTATTTCCCATCCTCCTCCTCTCTGTTCTGTACTGGAAGCTCATATTCTCCTTCTTTCTTTTCTTCATTCTGCTATTCATCATCTATGGATGGGTGGTGGGTGCAGTTGGTTCCTTCCACTTCTTCTCCTGTATTCTCTTATTTTAATCTGTTCTGGGCAGAATATGGCTGATGTCAAGCTGAAATGCAGACTATGTTGAGAATTGATTACAATGGCAAATGAGATTTGTGTGAATTGACCTGAGCATGTGCCTAAGTGTCCATCACTTTTACCCTTCTGTCCTCTGCATGTATGCCTTACCAAGTGGTTGTATAAATCTAGCAGTCCACCAAAAGGGGGCTCATGTTCATGAGTTTTGTAGGGTTCAGAAGACCGGGGTAGAAAGTGTTGTTGAGCATGGATTGTTTCTTTATGTATAAATCTGGCACATTGTCCGTCATATAGTGAACTTGTCACTTGACTTAACTTTGTCTACCTCTGATTTGAAGGAATTGTTTCTTTCTGCGTAAATCTAGCACATCATCCCTCTTGTAAGATAAGATAATACTTTATTATCCCAGAGGGGAATATTTCTTTGCTGAAGAGGACCATAAAAACACATACAGGTATACATAAGAGTTTAAATTATATATTAATCTCATTAAAAATCAATATGAAAAGAGAAGTAAAACTGACAAAATGTACATATCGCATCAGAGGCATCATTCAACCATGTGCAGGAATTTAATTACAAGATCTTTAGATTTATATAGATACATACTCGAAAGAGCAATATGCTTATTCTGACAATAGCCTTATTCTAGATTTTAAAAAACTTATTATATATCTTTTTTTCTTTATTTTTCGAGGTACATATATATCTGCACTGCGTGATTTTACAATTTTCGTGGAAAGGGGATGTGATGGGTCATTTATAATGCTTTTTATCCTTTTTATACTTGTAGTGAAGATATCCCTTGACTAAACGTATTCAATTTCTTTTACAGGTGTCCAAAGCATGTACCTCCATTTGTCAGTGGACCCGAGCCATGCACAAGTACCACTTTGTAGCAAAAGGCGTGGCGCCAAAGCGTGAGAAGCTTCGGATAGCACAGGAAGAGTTGGCTGAGACTCAACGTATCCTCGATGCTGCAAAGGCTCGGCTACAGGAAGTAGAGGAGGGTATAGCCACACTGCAGGCAAAGTATGATGACTGTGTGCGCAAGAAGGAGGAGCTGGAACATAAATGTCGGGAATGCGAGGCTCGGCTCGTCAGAGCTGACAAGGTCAGAATCATCCTTTGGTTAAAAAAATACTGCTGCATTACAAAAAGAATATCCTGCCGGTTTTATTTGGTTTGATGAAAGGCAGTGTATTATGACGCTCTTCTTTCTTCTGTTTTGTGCAATCTTTGTCATGACTAAATAAAAGAGGGGTATCTCTTTGGTTCATATCATAGCTAATAGACTGAAATAGAAACAGATTATTTGGCTCTTTTTATGAGGTTTTAAACCTAGTGATTCTGTTTTTCTTATAAAGTGAGTCTTTTAAGTAAATGCACACTTTACAATATGGCATGGCCTAAAATGGGTTTAACGTCTAACACTCATGATCTTGCAGTTGCCATACAATGACACTTATATCTGAGCTTCCTTTCTCTGTTGCCAAAGACTATGAATTTTACAGTACAGTTTTATTAAGTAAAAATAAATATTTGTTATTTAGAAATAAACAGAGTAAGGCCTATTAAAAATCTAGCTGTTTTGATGCATGAGAATTAGATGTAAAATGATATGATAGTTTAGAATCAAGAAGAATAGTAGAAGAGTAGTAAATATATGATAATTGTTAGGCATGATGAATAGAAGAATAAAGAATTGGTAAAATGTTGACATGTTTCTGAGAAATGGGCATGATAAATTGTTGGTGAAAGTAGCAATTTGAGGGTTAATGAAGATAGAATAAAAGCTGTAAAGCATTTCCAATAACATTATTTTATTTGAAAGCTGGTGCACATTGATTAACATTAAAATTCAAAATCTTGTTTTTTTAATTCTAGCTCATCGGTGGTCTAGCAGATGAAAAAGAGAGATGGAGAGAGTCTGTGGACAACCTGGAGAAGATTATTGACAACATCATTGGAGATGTCCTTGTGTCATCTGGAAGCATCGCTTACCTAGGACCCTTCACTGTGAGTCTGTCCCTTCTTCCGTGAAACAGTTGGCAATGCTGGACAAATGCTTTGGCGCCTACTAATAATAGGAAGAAGGATAATTGATTACATAATTTATAAAGTGCTCTATCCCATACAAGATTAATCTCTGGGCTGATTTGTTGTGCATAGACTGCTGATACTGTTTCATACCTATTGCCTTTTGCTGCAGTTTGGACACATTTTTGTTACTTTACCTCCTTAGAAGTGGTGTGGAATTTTTGGAAAAAAAAGAAAGCTTATTAATGGAAGGGCTTGAATGGGTGATAAGTCTATTTCAGTAACCCAAGGGGCCCAAATGCATACTTCGGTGTGCACGCCCTTTCCTATTTTAGACATCAAATGCACACCTTGGAATGTTGTTTTCAATCCAGCCACCTTGAGGTGAAATGGTGTAAATCTATAAGTTTTCTGTCAAGAAATGAAAGTGCATGGATTCTGCAGGTTCATCTTTCTATAATTTCTACTAAGCATACAAAAGGAACAATGAGTTTTTTTATTTCCATCTTAATACTCTCTTTTATCAATAAAACTTTTACAGCCCAGCCCACATGTACTTTGTTGGTGGTTGGCGGGTACTGTGGTGTGGTTTGCTCTTTCTTACCTATAAAACTAAAACATTGGTCGTCCTTATCTCTCCTCCCTAGTAACACCTCTAATCTTTGACACTAATATTTGATCTAATTGTGTTGCAAGTGCTTGTGTAAAATTGTAAATAAAACTGAAACTAAATGTTTCTTGTTTGACTACATGCAGGGAGAGTATCGACTGAACATGGCCAACGCTTGGGTGAAGAAGCTGGACGAACATGGAGTGCCACGGACCGAAGATCCCTCGCTGGTAGGCACCATGAGCGATCCAGTCAAGATCCGCAACTGGCAGATCGCTGGACTGCCCAAGGACAATCTGTCAGTGGAGAATGGTGTCATTGTCCAGTTCTCCAGGAGATGGTCACTCTTCATTGACCCACAAGGTCAAGCCAACAAGTGGATCAAGAATATGGTAAGAATATCTTAGGGGAATATTGTCTTGTATTCTTCATTCTTTATTTTCATGAAGTTACTACAGAAGTTTTATTATTATTATTATTATTATTATTATTATTATTTTTATTTTTATTTTTATTAATATTATTATTATTAACACTTGTTGAATTATGTAAATTTGAATCCTGTTATATGGGTTCATGCATTTATGCTCTTAATTAAACCAAGAATTAAAGATTGCTTTAAAGTTCTTGTATTTCAAAGAAGGTAATATTTTTATTTGCATGTTACAGATGAGAGATTTAGAATTTGTTCAATGAGAGGTATTGAATGCAATGTACTTTCTCTGAGAGTCAGGGTTTTTGTTTGTGAGAGATGCCTATTGTGTTGCATTCTCTGTAAACGATTTATATTGCATGGTATTTTCTGTGTTCCTCAGGAACGAGAGGCAGGTCTGGATGTTATCAAACTGTCGGACAAGGACTTTTTGCGAAGCTTGGAGAATGCTGTCCGTTTTGGCAAACCGTGCATGCTTGAGAACATCAGCACAGAGCTGGACCCTGCCCTGGAGCCGGTACTGTTGAGACAGGTCAGTGTTGCAGTGATATCAGTTTTGTTATCACTGTTGTTGTCTTCCTCATAATCATCATCATCATCATCATCATCATCATCATCGTCATCATCATCATTATCATTGTTTGGAAAGCAGAGTAGGAGGGTCTTGTTTGAATTTTAGACAATATTTGAATTTTAGACAAAATAATATAACAATATAAAATGTTTTAAATTTGTTTAATAGACATCATCATCATCATCATCATCATCATCATCATCATCATCATACTTTCTTCTTTATTTCCTTATAGTATGATCTTCTTTACTGTTATAGCTGGGTCAAGTTCTCTAGTAGGATATAAAGCTTAAACAAAAGCCATTATTATTTTTACTTTTATACTTCTCCTCTCCCTCATCTTCTTCAGTTCCTCCTCTTACTCTTCCTTTGTTGTTCTCTTTTTCATCTTTCTGTTCTTCTTCTTCTTCATGTTTCTCATTGCATTGCATTTGACTTGGTCCTCCTATTCGGACTCATCCTCTTCCTGACTTTCTTGAATCTGAACTTGAAACTTGTACAATAACGATAATGACAACAATAATAATGGTGTTACATTAATATTAGATAGCCTCATGGACCTCACTCAATATTTATCATTTATCGTTGACATTTTTACAGACATTCAAACAGCAAGGAAGCACAGTGATCAAGCTTGGTGATGCCATCATTCCATACCATGAGGACTTTAAGTTCTACATGACCACAAAACTGCCAAATCCTCACTACACACCAGAAGTCTCCACGAAGGTCACGCTAGTGAACTTTACGCTTTCACCGAGGTACGGTTTGCTGCCTCTGTGTCTTGTCACAGTTGTTGTAGTCACTGCCATTGTGGGATTAGATGGGGGTAAGATGAGTTCGGTGTTGAGAAATCTATATTTCTTTCCTTTTTTTCCAATGAAGGTGTTTTTTCACCCCATCAACACAATTAAGATCATTTAGGATGCGGGCTTCACACTTGTCTGGGCTAACCCAAGCTGAGAGCAATACAACATCCCAGCTGAAAGATTGAGATACTCAATAAAATTTCTCCCCTCTTGGAAATCAAACTCAGGTTTCTGGCATGTGACAGTGAAGTGCCTAACTGCTACACCATAAACAGTTGTAGCAGTTGAGTTCTGTCTGGGTTGAAAATCAGCTGAACATATTGTGTCCATAGAGGAAAAATCTTGATTTATTTTCTTATTGGGAGATAATTAATGTAGTCAGGACACCTGTTAAATGAGGTGTATATCCTAACTCATCATTTCACCTGAAATTCCCTTGACTTTGTTTGAAGATGACTATTGTTTTCAGGACACTGTTGAATAAGTCTTAAAACCCAATTCATCAATTTTTTTTTTTTTCCAGTGGTCTCGAAGATCAGCTGTTGGGTATTGTAGTGGCTGAGGAGCGACCGGATCTGGAAGAAGCCAAGAATCAGCTGATCGTCAGCAATGCCAAGATGAAGCAGGAACTGAAGGAGATAGAGGACCGCATCTTGTACAGGCTCAGCTCCTCTGAGGGAAGCCCCGTGGATGACATTGACCTTATTCAGACACTCGAGGCATCCAAGATCAAATCACAGGAGATCACGGTATGTTACGCGCAACATTATTTTTACTTTATGACTTACTGCTACTTTTTTCTTCTTTTCTGTGTTACAGTAGTCCCATTGTGATTTGGGGGAAATGTGGCTATTATTGTGCTGGCTCATCATAAACTAGGACTCATCTATGACTGTAGGTTATAAAGGACTGAAATGTTTTTAAGAGTATAGCAAAACTAAAACTTCAGTTTTATGGGGTTTTGAAAATGACTACGGAATGTAAAATGCCCCCTTTGTACAGTCATGGCAAACTTACTACATCTGAAAGCACTATCTTGCAAAAGTGCTGGCACTTCAGTATGTCCCTCGAACCAGCAAGTTGGTCATAAAGTTTGAAATCCACAAAGTTCTCCATCGTTTTCTTTTTGCGGGCTCTACGAATGATCAGGCAGTTTAAAAATAGTATTTGCTAAAGTTGTAATGGTTGTAATGCATGGACACGCGCTATATAAATGCAGTTATTTTTATTATTATTATTACTATTTAGTAGTAGTAGTAGTAGTAGTGTTGTTGTATTATTATTAGTAGTAGTAGTAGTATTATTATTATTAGTAGTAGTAGTAGTATTATTATTATTAGTTATTATTAGTGTTGTTGTTATTATTATTATTGTTATTATTATTATTATTATTATTATTTTTAGAAATTATTATTATTATTACTAATATTATTATTATAAAAGTTATACTTCCACCGTTTTTAAAAGTGCTGTGGATGTTTTTACTTTGCATAAAGCAATAATTATGGACAGTCTTTGTAATTCATTCAACAACTAAAACATTAACCACTCATCTCTGACCACAGGCGAAAGTGCAGGTGGCGGAGCAGACAGAGAAGGACATTGACCAGACACGTAGCCAGTACATCCCAGTGGCCGTCAACACTCAAATCCTTTTCTTCTGCGTGGCGGACATGGCCAACATTGACCCCATGTACCAGTACTCCCTCGAGTGGTTCATCACCATATTCCTCGGTGGCATCGCTCAGGCTGAGAGAGCAGGTAGGATCGATCAGACAGACAGAGAATTATAGTAATCATATCGATAATAATAGTGTAAGATTAGTATTGTTAAAAAAGTAATTATAGTGTTATGATAATACTGATGATAATCATACTGTTGATAATAATAAAAATGGTGTAAATAAAACGGTAGCTGTTATTGTTGATGATGATGATGGTGATATTTTATAAAGTCATACATTTTGAAATACTCAAAGTCTCCTCATGCTTACAACAATGATGATGATGATGATGATGGTGATGTTATTGATGATAGTAGTTATGATGATGTTGAGAATAATAATAATAGCACTAGACTAATGGTAGTAATAATGATGACAGTGATAAAAATAACAATAGACTGTATTTGCAGAGTACATACCACAACTGGAAAGAAGGCTATATGCTCTTTACAATATATGGTAATGTTATAAAAGGAATATTGTTATTGTCAACTCAAAATGGATGTGTTCGAGAAACTGTTTGTAGGTACCCTCTGTGATGTGGTATGCAGTTTGCTGTGTTGATGTAATGTTTGCTTATGGTTGTCTGAATCCTCTATGGGGTGTTCTTGAACTTGGATTATTTGAGGAGTTTTTCAGTTCTGTCCTATTTGGGTCAGTGCTATCTGAAATGGACATTGAGTCACGAGGTCCTGCATCATAGAAAAAACAATCAGTGTTGAAAGGGACACCATACTTTATTATCTTTCTATGTGATTTGATATTTATGTAGAGTAGGGTGGGTAAAAATATTTGTGAATTAAAAGAGGATATTCAGTTTGTTATGTGGCATTGATCGTCTAGTGGTTAATCTATCGGGCTTGTTATTGTGAGGTTGCGGGTTTGGGGATTTGAGACCTAAGCCTGATGTCGTGTACTTGGGAAAGACATTTTACACCAATTTGTCTTTCTTCACCCGGGTGTGAATAGCTACCGGGCCACAGACGGAGAAACATTTTACCATTATGTTAGTATTTATATTGCCTGAGAAATGCATACCTTGCATTGTATGCTTCCCCGGAAGTTGAGATTGTTCTAGAATGCTATCAGTTCTGCTACGGTAATAATAGAGATTGTAAATCACGCGGAGTTTGTGCTGAGCAGGGATTTGCTCTGTACAAATGCTTTTTGTATTATTATTATTATTATTATTATTATTATTATTATTATTATTATTATTATTATTATTATTATTATTATTATTATTATTATAATCATTATAAGGTATTATTATTACTATAATATACCATTACAATTTTATAATTTGATTCCTTTAATCTCAATGTTGTCCTTTTGAATTGTGGCCATTAGTGAATTGTGTTGTAATATAACGACAATGCACAATGCCCATCTCTCGCCACTGATCAAAGTAATTTGACCTATGCTTCCAATTGTTTCCAATTGTGTCCTCAGACAACATTCCTCAGAGAATTACCAACATCAACGACTTCTTCACCTTCAGTCTGTACTCCAACGTGTGCCGCAGTCTGTTTGAGAAACACAAGCTTCTCTTTGCCTTCCTGCTCTGTGTCCGTATACAAATGAACGAGGGCAAGATTGACATGGTAGGTACTGGCATGCAAACGTGCACACACAACTCACATGCACACACATCCACATCCACCTCCACACACACACGCACACATCCACACACATCCACATCCACATCCACCTCCACACACACACACACACACACACACACACACACACACACACGCACACGCACACGCACACGCACACACACACACACTTCACCTACTGTCCAATGACTGCTGGGTGTTGTGCCAACATTTGTGCAGCCAAACAGGTTGTGGCCAACTTTTTGGCTTTATGAGTTAGCCGTGGGAAGTTTTTTATATCTTGAAGTAGGAGAACAGTGTCAAGCCTACAGTGAGCATGTTGATGACTCAAATCGCTCCCTCAGAATTACAAAGTTCTATTTGCTCAGTATCTAGTTTTGAGAAATTTGACATAAAAATTTTTTACCTTCACAACGTGAAAAGCTTTTTAGAATGCAATTCTTTGAATGTCTTGATAACGACTCCAAATTATCTTTCATACAATTTTAATAGAGCAGATAGAATATTTGGTTTCTGAATAGTCTTAGTGACTCAAAATGGCCAAAAATGTCGGATAGAACTTTGTATTTCTGAGGTACCAAAATGTTGTTGAAGGTTGTGTGCTTATTTATTTGAAATACAATTAACTATAATTATTATCCCTCAACATTTTCAGGTTTTGCTAGGTGCCGCATTATTTTACATCAGTCATTTTGTGATCTGAATTATCTGTTATTTAAATTGCTCTTACGGAAGCTTTTTTTGTAAAATTATTTACCATCTTTGATTATTTCTGACAGGCTGAGTGGCGCCTCATGATTGCTGGAGGTACCAGCAAACCCAAAGAAACACCGAACCCGGCCCCAGAGTGGATTTCTGACCGCTCCTGGAATGACATCCTTACCGTGCCCTCCCTGCCAAAGTTTGCCAAGTTTGGGGAGGACTTCAAGAACCATCTGGACGGATTCAAAAGAATATTTGACAGTATAGAGCCCCACAGGTAAAGATTCATCTGTGTGTGGTTGGCAGATGCTCTGATGTGTTTGTTTTTTCTTCTTTCTCATCAAAACATCTATCTTTTTTATCTGTTCTTCTTCTTTTCTGTGTATGTAACTCTTTTGTAGGAATATCTGTAATCCCAGACACTTATATGACCTATCCATGTTGTAAGTGTTGTAAGTAAATCAAGAGATTCAGTTTTCCTGTTGTTGTACCAAATACTCGCTAATGTTTGGTTGAAGGGTGCCACTGGTAGGTTCTACTTCTTTTCTTTCCCTCAGTTGTTTCCTACCTCACTTTGTCCCAGCACTCAATGGCAATTATTTTGTCCATTTGCTTCTCTTTGCTCAAACCCATATTGATCATATTGGTAAGCCAGCCCATGATGATAAGTTTACAACACTAATAATGAATTTGTTGTCTTGATAAGTGGGTAGCTGAAGGGTACTATTGGTAGATTTCACTTTTTAACTTTCCTTCTGTAGTTTCTGTCTGTCTGTCATACTATTTCCTGGCACGAAATCCTGGCTATTGTATTTATGTGCTTCTCTTTACCTAGAGCTGTATTGTATGGGAGTGAGCACTGTTGAAATAATCTGCATAATTAGATATTATTATCATTCACTCATACAAACATCCTAATTATTTTGATGTAAGCAGTATTGCTGAAGAATATGAAATACTAAAACTTAATGTGTAAAAATTGTAGAATTTCTTTAAAATTCTTATCTGAACTTTGGATTATTCCTTCAGTCTTTCACACTTATCAACAAGCATAATAGGCTGAGAAATTGTAATATCCCAATTGAAAGAGCTGCGGAGCTGACCTTCCATAGAAAACTGCATCTCCCCTTTACGCTTAACGGCAACAGAGGATGAAGAACTAAAAAGTAAAAGTAAAACTAATGAGCTTCATATCAACTACTCAGTGTCAAACTCCATCATGTCACAATTCAAAACGGTGTGTAGCAGAGTCTTACACTAAACAGCCAATTTGCATTTGTGTCATGACTTGGTTGAATCAGGCGCTTGTCAATTTTTGGGCAAGTGGAGTTATTTGTATCATCTGAAAGCTTATCCCTTTGCCTTGCTTTCAATGAAAACAAATAGACATCTAACTTGAATAGAAGTCGAGATATTTGCGATTGAAGAAGGTGAGGTAGCCTGATTTCAGTAGTTCAATTGATGAGAAAATGGCCGCCAAATTTTGGTAACTTCAATAGCTTAAGAGTCCTTGAAAACTGGAAATTTTTAACAAGGTTTTTCAGTAAAATCATCATTGAAATGTGATGAACATTAAAGGTGTTTAGCCCCCCCCCCCCCCCCCCCCCCCAATTTTTTTCTATAAAAATTGCCAAACTGTTTGAAAAATGCCTTTTTCTTCGATTTCATTATTTTAACGAGCGCCTCGTTTCACCACGATGACTCACATTTAATTTTGTTCTCTCCTTTACACCTATTGACTTGCATGCCTTTCCAGGGAAGAACTTCCAGGTGCCTGGGCGCAAGACCTCGACAAGTTCCAGGCCATGATTGTACTGAAGGCTCTACGACCAGACACAGTGACCAATGCTATGCAGGACTACGTGGCAGAGTTCATGGGTCAGAGGTTCATCGAGCCACAGACCTCAGACCTGGGCCTGGTCTACAAGGACTCATCTCCAACCACTCCGCTGGTCTTTGTCCTCTCACAGGGCACAGACCCCGCCAATGATCTGTACAAGTTTGCAGAGACCATGAGATTTGCCAAGAAACTCACAGCCATTTCTCTAGGTCAAGGACAGGTGGGTGGATTAATTGTTTGACCCTGATCTTCCTTTTGTCATCATCATCATCATCATCATCATCATCATCATCATCATTCTCCTCTTTCACGAAGCGCTGATCTTCCTTCACAAATGCAGTGTTCTTAGGACAGGTCTTGTCAGCATGGGGATGAGAACACTTTAACCATTTTCTGCTCAATTCCAGCGTATAAAATGCAGTTCTAGAGTTCAGCCCAGCAGGGCTCGTCATTTGTTTGTTCCACAGGATTTCATCAATTGTAGGCTCGACTATGATGAAATGATATCACCGATGTAAAACTGTGGCCTCGTTTCTGTTTCCACTGAGGAAAACGTGTCAGAGCTGAGGTCAACGGTTAGGCTTTCCTTTCAATACCACTTGAAGAAAGTGACCTCTTGGAGGTGCTAATATTGTTAAAAGTCTCTATGGAGAACAATTGTCAATGTGACTCTTCAGTTTTTCTCTTACCTAAATTATGTTGAACAGGGAGTAAAACTTGAAGTTCAACTTTCTGCCCTCAGGGTCCTCGTGCGGAGGCCATGATGAAGTCGGCCATGGAGCGAGGCAAGTGGGTCTTCTTCCAGAACTGTCACTTGGCCCCCAGCTTTATGCCCATGCTGGAGCGGCTGGTGGAACAGATTGACCCTGATAAGGTAACTTCAATAGCTTAAGAGTCCTTGAAAACTGGAAATTTTTAACAAGGTTTCTCTCTCTCCTTCTCTCTCTGTCTATCTCTCTCTTTTTCTGTTCCTCTCTCTGTCTCTCTCCTGTCTCTCTGTCTCTTTCTCTTATATATATATATATATATATATATATATATATATATATATATATATAATATCTCTGTCTGTTTCTCTATCAGTCTCTGTCTCTGTCTCATACACACCCATGGAAACATAAACACACACACATACACTGACAAACACACACACACACTCACACACACACAAACACACACACACACACACGTGCACACACACTGATATGAGACTCCTTCTCTCATTCTCTTTCTTTCTCTCCCTCTCCTTCTCTCATTACAAAACCATAGTTTCCATAATCTGGTGTTGGAGATTCAAAACATGATCAAACACCTTTACAGTTGAACACAGTTTTAGAGGGCATCAGTGGTTGAAGGGTTAGTCAGTTTGGGCGTACAATAATGGGTTGATACAGCTTTTAGATGGGTGGTCTCTGTTGTGTCTCTTTGAGCAAGGCTTAATCCTAGCTATCAAAGAAAAATACAAGGACAATGAGCAAATGCGTGTTGCATGATTGCACAGGTGTGATATTGTGTGTTATGTTAGGTTGATGGATTAGCTCATATTGACTGCTTAGTGTAATACCCCATCATACATCTTCTTACACTGAGCAGTTGACATATCGGTATTGTTGTATTTAGGCATTTATGTATGTTTTTGAACACCAAATTAGAATCAATGAAGTTAGATTTTAAAATTTTGGAAAAAAAAAATCAAAGCAATTCCCTTGATTATCAAATAAAGTGGAATTATATTATTATAGAAAACTTTCTTCTCCCTGTTCAGGTTCACCGTGACTTCCGTCTGTGGCTGACCTCTATGCCCAGCGAGAAGTTCCCTGTGTTCATCCTACAGAACAGCTCAAAGATGACTGTGGAGCCTCCTAAGGGCATAAAGGCCAACCTGCTGAGATCGTACATGGGTTTCACTGATGACTTCCTCAGTCAGTGTGGCAACAGGGTGAGTATAAATGTCAGATGGCGTAGTATAGTTTATGGAGCAGGAGTGGTATAGAGCCTTGTGTTTGCTTGGAGTTTGATGTGGGCACCTTTTGTTTTCTGGAACAATTTTCTGACAGGATATTTCATTCCAATTATTGCTTGGTTGCTGACACAATGATCCTATAGCGTTTTAACTCTTTTAGTCCTGTATGGCCTGTGCTCCTATCTTCTTGTTGTCTGCAAGATTTACACCAGTGCGCACTTTGGGCAAAGAGAAATAAGGGAAGACCTCCTACATCATACATTGAAAATGTATAATCCAACAGTGATATACAGTTTCATGAAATAATACATCAAAGCAGAGACAAGAGAAGTGAAAGCCTTTTGAAGCAAAGAATATGGGTGTGGCTCAATAGCCCAAACTTTACAGTAGTTAGTGGAATTGGGAAGAAAGGTTGACTTCTTTAAGACACAAAGATGGTAGCAAGAGGGGCATGACTTAAACAGATGTTGATTTAAGCAGGATAGTGCAGCGCAGCCAAAGAAAGAGGGACATCAAGATCCGTTATACCTGAGACACACAAGACGTGTTCTAATTCAGTGTCTCTATTACCTCTTTCTCTCTGTTACCGTGTCTCTGATGCTGTTCATGATATGATGTCTCAGTTACACTGCTTGAGATGCTCTCTGAAACTTTGATTTTTTAAACAGGATTTTAGAGCTATTTAGAACATTTTTTTTTCATCTACATTGAAAAAAACTAACTACATGTCATGAAAAACATGAACAAAACGATGTCCTGTAAGATTGCCTTTTTTTAATCACAACACCATCAGTTTGCTGGCCAGGAGTCTAATGAACATTTGGAATAAGAGCACAAAAGATTCTATTGATTTGTGCATGCAGGTTTCAGAGTTCAAACATCTCCTGCTGTCCCTGTGTCTGTTCCACGGGGTGGTCATTGAGAGGAGAAAGTTTGGAGCCCTGGGTTTCAACATCCCGTACGAGTTCACAGATGGAGATTTGCGTATCTGTGTCAGTCAGCTCAAGATGTTCCTTATGGAATATGACGAAATTCCATTCAAGGTGAGTCTTTGAAATATTGCCATTATGGTTTTTTAAAATGTTTTCCATTACACCCTGGAGAAGTTAGACTCTAAGACGTGGGCACGTCTACTGAAAGATGCTGCATTATTGTTGTTTCTTTTTTCCCTCATTCATCATAAGTTTTCGCATGCTTTTATTGTATCTAAGTTCTCAGAAACCAAAGTTTCCTTTTTTCTGAACATTTTGGTGAGTAATACAAGCTTGTAGTTTGAGACCTATCTTTTTTTATGAAACGGAAAATATGTACATATTGAAAATATGTACATATTTTCAATCAAAACTTGCTGAGACAAAACAGCGAATAGGGCTATGACTTGTAAGAATTAATTTAGAAAAAAAGAAGGAAAGAAAGTCTTTAATGAAGAATAATATTATTTCTAGGACTGATAATTGGTCTGGCTGATTCATAAAGATAAGTTGGTCTATATGACATAAAAGAAGGGGAAGGAGTGCTATAGAGCCATGTATTTGCTTAGAGTTTGATGTGGGCACCGTTTGTTTTCTTTCTTTTTTTTACTGATTACCAAAACCACAGAGTTGATTTCTCTGGTGGGCCCCCACTGCTTTTTTTTTTTTAGGGAGGGGGGTGTCTTATTTTGTATCTCATGGATAAAATGCCAGTTAAAAAATTGCATCTTAAATGTGATGATATATGATAGCCTACTCATGTGTTTCTCGACCAATATCTTACCTTTAGGTTTTGGTATATACGGCTGGTCACATCAACTATGGCGGCCGTGTGACGGACGACTGGGATCGTCGCTGCCTCATGAATGTGCTCGGTGGCTTCTACAAGCGTGATGTCATTGATGAGGAGTTCATCTACTCTGAGTCAGCCATCTATAAACAAATCAGCCCAGAGAATGAACTCAGCGTAAGTATTGGATGAAACTGTTGAATTCTGGTGGCAAGTTGGGGTAGGGGGGGTGGAGGAGGGGGAGAGAGGTTTTTTTGGCAATGGGGTGGATGCTCATGGGCCAAAAGATAAGGTACTCATGTTTGCTTCTTATGTACAAGGTGGGGATGGGAGTATTAAGGGTTGGAAGGGGCTGCTCTTTAGACAGAAGGTAGTGTCTCCCTCTACATGGGAAAGCCTAGATCCTGACAGACCCAGTTGGAGAGCAGCAGTCACAGCGGGCAGCAAGTCATATGAGGCTTCACATTTAAAAAATGCTGAAACCAAGAGACAATCCTACAAGCTGTGCACATCCACAAAGTGGCTTTTGAATGCTCAAAATGTGACAAACGTTCCTCTGCCTTAACTGGTCTCATTGACCATAGCAGAAGCCACATGTCATCTTAACCTTTAATTCTTCTATTTTACTTGAGAAATATTTCCCTCCACGGATGTATTGGTCACTGTTAGACTTTGACGGATGAACTATTATTATTATTATGTTATTATTATTACCACTCATGTCCTAATATCGATTTGTTTCACTTTAATAAAGTCATAAAGAATTTCTTTAATATCTCTCTGTGCTCAGGGTTACCTTGGGTACATCAGAAGCTTGCCTATCAACGACACTCCAGAGGTGTTTGGTCTCCATGACAATGCCAACATCACCTTTGCCCAGAACGAGACGTTCAACATGCTGGGAGACCTTGTGATGCTTCAGCCAAAGTCTGCCTCTGGAGGAGGGATGTCCAGAGAAGAGGTCAGCAGATCTGTGGAGTTTTTAAAATTGTGTTTTTTGGACAATAAAGTTAGAAAAAAAGTTTTGCTTACATTTAATTGAACAGTCAACCAGTGGTATCTACAGCTTTTTTTTCTGTTTTTGTTGCTTCTTGTAGCAGCCATGTCATAAAAATAGTTTTATCTCCAGATGGACAATCAATTGGTGTTCATAATGAGCAAAGATACTCTTTGATAGGAAAATTGTTTGTGTTGTAGACACCTGTTGTTCACCCTCTTAGTGTTTACGCAAATGCTTAGAGTAAGACTTCACCATACGCTATTTAAAAAAAGGAAAAATTCTAATGGAGTTTAAAACCGGGCAGTTAAAACGATCCGAACTTTTGTCAATGGGTGCGTAAACTAATTATGATTATTGCTTTGGTGACCAGGTGATGGAGCAGACGGCCCTGGACATCCTGGGTCACGTTCCTCAGCCTGTGAACCTGTCAGCCGTCATGGAGAAGTATCCTGTGCTGTATGAGCAGTCCATGAACACAGTGCTGGTGCAAGAGGTCATCAGGTCAGGGAATGGGAGGGTGTGGATGTTTGTGTGTTGGTGTGTGTGTGTGTTGGTGTTTGTGTGTTGGTGTGGGTGTTTGTGTATTGGTGTGTGTATGTAGGTGTGTGTGTGTGTGTGTGTGTGTGTGTGTGTGTGTGTGTGTGTGTGTGTGTGTGTGTGTGTTTGTGTGTGTATTAGTGTGTGTGTGTGTATGTGTTTGCATGTGTGTGTGTCTATTTCTTTAAAAATTTGTAGGTGTATGTGTAATTTTGTGTTTGTCCTCTTGTGTGTGAATTTGTGCAAAAATGAGTGAGTGAGTGTGAGTGTGCGTGTGTATCTGTGTGTTTGTGTGTGTGTTTGTGTGTTTGTTCTTGAATGTTCTCTGTGTGTGTGGAGTAGAGCTGGATCCTGCTTGCCAAATCTGAAAGTGGCGATTCGCGATTCAGTCGGCTTTAATGAATCGCGAGTACGCGAGCGCTCGTGGAACACTAAGTCTCGGGCTCGTTGTATGCGTGAAACGGAACAGTGTCATGTCAACGCCACTTCGTGAGTCCCTCTCTTGTTGTCTCGCCATCCTCTCCGCACCACACCCTTCGTTGCGCTGCTCTACTGACCTCAATAAGCGACCCCCGTAAATTAACCCCCCCACCCCCCCCATGATTGGCTAAAACAATAGCTCCCTAAAATTCCTTGTCTATTGGTTGGAACCCGTTCATTTTGTTTTAATAGGGGGGTTGGACTAAGCCATCTTTTGTAAAATAAGGGGAGCCAAACTAAGTGTTCCTTTCCATTCTTGCGCTCGTGACTCGACCAACGACCCGGCAGTAGGTTACAAACAAGCCGAAAGGTGGTGACATCGACAGGGGAGTGAATTGGGAATCGGAAGGCGATACTGTTCCATTTTCCGCTGAAGTGCATCATGAATCGCGTTTTGCAGGGAAGAGTGGCGATTCAGTTCCGTTCTCGCGCTCACGACCTAGCTCTAGTGTGGAGGAGGGGGGAGGAGAAGGGGAAGTTAGATTGTATTTTTTGTTGACTCTCAGTAAACTCCATGTACCAGCTACTGTACGACTCATCTCAACTTGTTCTTCTCTGGGTGGCTGAGCTCTCAAATGTGTCATGACACGGTGGAATCAGGTACTCATCAATTTTTGGACAAGTAACAACTCTTTTCCATCCTTCCCCCACTCTTGC